ATTGCATCAAACAGAGCATAACTAACTTTAAACACTTGCCAACCGTGCCTACATCAGGCCTTTCAGGTTTGTTTTAATCAGCAGGTCTCTATCTAGACAAGCAGCAGTGGTGACAACATTCAGTCTTTTGTTACGAATCATGCTGATTATGATCTTACTTCTCATTTTAACCTATGCCGCTTGACATAAAATCTACATGCTATTTACTAAACCTCTAGACCTGTGTTTCCAAACGTGGGGCCCACGCCCCACAAGGGGGCAATGCGATTGTTAAGGGGGGCAATTCGAAAATGGACTCATGCAGAGTTTAAGGGGACAAAGGACTTTCCAAATATGCTTCATGAAGTCAAAATTTTTTGAAAATTTCGATTTTTTAATTCCCCAAAATAAAGAAAAATGTAAGTGATGTATACGTAAAAATGTTTTTAAATTGCGGAGCATTTTAAATATTTTATAAAGAATTCTCGCCGCAGACATTGACATTTAAATGCTTTTAAAGGCATTTAAATAACTGACACATTATGCTTTCCAGACATTTCTCACACATTTCAGCCAACAAATTTACTTTATTGTAAGAATGGCAACCGGTATATTATTCTTTCCTTGAATGGCAACAGTAGCTGCTTTCAGCTTTGTTTATATTGATCTTATATTTATTTCTTTCAGCCCTTAGTGAAATGAGGGGTGCAAGCAAGAAATAACGTTCGTCAGTATTCGGAGGCATATTTAAAATTTGGTTACATACCCGCTCCATAAACGGTCAACTTTTGTCCTTTTATGCCAATAATGCCTGACCAACAAATCAATGAAACTTGAGGCACATTTGAAGGCGAAACATAATGCTGATATTAATTCAGATTTGAATTATTTTCACACTTTAAGGACAATTTTTGAAAAAAGAGTAATATTAAAGTGCCTATTTACTGCTCATAATGCAACTGTTAATTGTACTCTGGAGGCTATGTATCAAATTTCATTACTCATCGCTTAATCTGGGAAAAGCCGTACTATAGGGGAGAATTTAATTAAGCCATCAATATCAGCATTTAAAACTGTTCTAGAAAAAGATGACAAAGACGTTAAAGCTATGCCACTAAATAACAATACTATTTGCAGAAGAAAGTTTAAATGAGTGAAGATATTGAAATACAACTTGTTGAAAAGCTGAAAACAAGAAAAGTTTCGGTGCAAATGGATGAACCAACTTTGAGAGACAGTGAGGCCGTACTTGTAACTTGTGTAAGATATATTCATAAAGGGGATTTTGCCGAAGAAATGTTCTGTAAATTATTAGAAAGCACCACTACCTCTAAAGATATTTATAGTAAGCTAAAAAATATAATACATATTGTACTGCAGATGGTGCTCCTAATATGATAGTTGAAAAATAAAATAAAGCACGGAATAAGGAAAAGGGTTGCTTAAAATTGATAAAAGATGAGAATCCAGAAAGGCTTCTTGTGCATTGTGTTATTCGTAGAGAAAATCTGGTAGCTAAAAACAATTCGCCTGTTCTAAATGAAGTACTAAATTTAGTTATAAAGTGTATCAATGCTAGTAAAGCTAGGGCTAAATGTGAACGTCTTTTCAAGTTATTTTATGAAGAACAAAATGAAGACAATATGAGACTTGTACTTCACACTGAAGTAAGAAGGCTGTTGAAAGGGAACTGCTTGGAAAGATTTAAGGAACTATTTGATACTCTTAGTTATTTTTTAAGCGACAAACCTGAAATGAAAATCGTTAACGGATGATAACAAGGCAATTGTGAGTTATTTAGCTGATATCTTTGAAAATTAAATATATTAAATAAACAACTTCAGAGCAAATAAAACTTATGATGCAAAAGGAAGATATTTGGTTTCATTATCTTTGTTGAATTATGTCAGGCATATACTATTACCACAAAAAGTTTGAAAAGTCTCATTGCTCCAAAAATGTGACGCGACTACCGCTATACTTGTTTGTCGATCATCTGAAATTTTATCGACTGATTTAAAGATTTTGAACTTAAAACAAATTGATTTTCCAACTTGGATATGCAGCCAATGCTAGTGGATTTGGCTGACATTTCAAATATGCAGTAAAAAGAACTCGCAGAAATGCAAAATGAAGTCACTTAAAACTTTATTTAATATAAAAGCGATGACATAGCTTGTGAGGAAACCAGATTCAGATATCCAAATGCAACAAATTGCAAGAGAACTATTGTTACCGTTCCATCTTCAATTTTATGAATGCGGATTTAGTGCCATAAATGATTTGCTGCTTTAAAAAAAAAAAAAAAAAATCGTTGGATATATGAAACGGGGAGACTTGAGACTCAAGTTATCTAAATTGGAATCTGACATAAAATTTCTTTGCAACAAGTATCAAGCGCAAGGAACTCGCTAATTTAAATAATAAAATTACTAATACTTAAAATAAAAAAAAAATCTTTCACTAAAATAGTTTTTTCTTGAATTTCAGTTCTCCATGTTTGAAAGTTCACTTACTGTGTTTGCTCATAAAATTTTCGTAGACATTTTCCTAAAGCTATATTCTAGTTTCTTTCGTGAAAATTTCAATTTTAAATATTAAAATTATGTATATGCTGGGGGAGCTTAAAATTTTAGAGAGGATTAGGTGGGGCATAGCACAAAAGGTTGGGAACACTGCTCTAGACGGACCAAGTATGTACAAAATGAGACATAAAAATAATCACATAAAGCTAGTAAACGTGTCACTTATCTTCTTCAAATATGTTCAACTATTATAAGTGTAAAATTTAATGTTACTTGATAAATTGCATAAAGTTTATTTTATATCTACTTATAATAATTATGTTAATTAATTCATTTTAGTAATAATGCATACTACTTTGCAGATCATTTTATTTTTAGGATGGTATTACAAAGTGAATTTCAGGCACAGATAATAGTTTTAATTGAATTTATTCAGTTCCCATTTGCTCATAGGTCCTTAATTTTTTTCATTAATGGTCCTTAAAAGTACTTAATTTCCATGTGCAGAAATGTGTACGAACCCTGTATATAGTACAACATTCTATTGGGTTACCTAACCTATGTACAGGAAATAAATCTTAAATTGAGTTTGAAATAGTGTAAGCAGAGGATATTTTAGAAAATAAAAGATTTGACTTTAAAAATAAATATTTACAGGAACAAAATTTCACATTATTGCCCGAAATTTGTAGTGATCAAACTGGATCATTATACAACTTTTCATTTGGCTACTGAGCTTTCATGAAGGACGTGTTAGATGCTCATGATGATTGAAAATTAGGAAGGCAAAAAATGTTAACACATTAAAAGAAGTGTAATGCTGGTATCAGAGCTAGGGCAACTGGTGCAGCTGCATTGCAGCAGTACTAAGGGGTGAAAAACTTTAGATATACTGGGCAGCAAAGTGCCTTTAACCTGGTGCAAGGTAGAAGGGAAGAAGGTCATCAAACAAGAAATCGAAAAATATGAGAAAATATCACAAGCTGAAGAGATTTTACCAATATCAATATGCTGATTTTTACAGGAACTTTCGAGAAGAGAGACATTTGTGTTCTGTTGATCTCTCATTGCACTTGATGCAACATTATTGATATGAAGATTTGATGATTAACGTGAAAGACCTCTGTCTCGAATAACAATATTTGAATCGTTGTCAAACCAGTGATTCTTCCCATGACTCCCAAATATTTCAACATGCACAACAACTGGTAAATTAAATTATGATCTCTGCCTAGGATTACCAAGGAATTTTTATTAAAGATAGAGTTCCATGTGGGAAAGTGGTCATTAAGCATATAATTCTGAATGATTGTGAAATATGTGAAGCAATTGTATAAAAATGCCTAACTTGCTTAGGGATCGGAAATTAATTTTGAAGGAGTTCTGCAGGAAATTGAGGCAAGTCTTCTTACCAAATAAGAGGCTGAAGGTTCACTCCACCCAAAATAAAACCTTCATGAAATTCTTCCACAGATTAAAAGAACTCTATATGGACTGCAAGGTGGAAAAGGTTTCTTCAGCAGTTACTCATACCATTCAAGGACTGAATAAAAGTAGTACCCTACAACGAATAGCAAATCTTCCAGGTGGATCACACAGGAGTGTAAGCAGATACTGAAGTAAAATTAGCTTGAGAGAAAAAATATTAGGGAGAATAATTAAATAAAAATATTAGCATCGCGTTTTAGATTAACTTCGTATCAGTGTATTCTGATGACAATTACCTGTTCAAAAAGTAACATAACTGGAATAGTAGTTAGTAGAAATGGAATTATTATTTGTAATTTTACGTATTTTTTGCTCTGAATAAGCCAGCAGTGGACAGTTTGAAACCTATCAAATTTTTACATAATAATATCAGAAATTAAATTAGTGATTAATAAAGAAACATGGCACTGTAGGATTTGTATTTCAAATTCCATTTGAATTAAAAAATTAAACTATATTTATTCAAAACAAGTCGCATTTCAGATGGCAAAGGATTGCAAGTAGTTTGCGAGCGACAATAAAGGTGTTGGAGAGCCGTAGTTTGGCCATGTCTGCTGTATAGTATCATGCAGAATTTGAAGAGATACTAGAACAATAGAAATCATGCTTTCAAATCAAAGTTCTGCATAAGATAGAATATCTATCCAAATTACACTTACATATTAGTAATCATGGCAGCAGATTGCTATGGAAAGGTAATGCCTAACAAGTGTAGACGTTTGTATGCACTTCTGCATGCTACAACCCATTTTTTCTTTCATGACCATTTTTGTAGCTTATGAATTATTTTTACTCTTATTTTCAAAATGTTTTTTGGGCAACAATAAACTACAGATAAATGAAACCAAAGATGCAGGAGCACAACTGCATTTTAAATATAATATAAATGTTTTATTTTTTAAATGTTACTTTACCTAAATTCTAAATAAAAGGCAATTACCCATGTCACAAATAAGATGTATATTTCGAGGCACAAGGTTAATAGAAATATATAAATAAACCACATACCTCATTTTCTTTCAAAATATTTGACCAGTCTTTCTCGGCAATAGCAGGTATAGCATTTAAAAGAATTTGTGTAGCTTTATATGCATTTTGTTTCATTGTCGCCATTACTTCATCAACACAAACCTATGAAAATTTTGTAACATTATTTAAAATATCAGCTGATCTTTGGAATGTGGTAACTGGTAGTTTGGCAACATTTTGGAGGTGATAAAGGTTACTACCTAGGACTTTGGTAATAATGTGAGAAGTACTCAGTTCCGATTACGCATTATTTTGTGTGAGGGAAATGAGAGATCATGAGTATGTCATGTGACATTAATGGACGAATTAAAGTTCTTTAATCGGAAAAGGGGAAAGGGGGAATTTGGAAAACCGTAGTACTATATTATTTTGTATTAAGCTTTTGTGTGTTGTGTGAAATAGTGGAAGTGTGCGTGCCACGTAATGAAGATTCTGAAGATTAGGTAAATTAGTATTTTTAATCATTTGAAGAGATTATTTTTATGCAATTGTTTCTAAATATAAGGAATAAATAAATTAATATGCTATTATTAGAAAATTGTTATTAGCAATGATTTTAGTTTAAAGTAATTAGGATTGTAATCTAATTTTTATTAATTTAATGTATGTGCTTATTTATATTTTAAGTAGTGTTTTTTAATTTAATTACATTTTAATTTAATGACCGTGATTTTGTGAGTTATATGTTTGTAGTATTTTGGAATACGTTTGAATAGAATACGTTGAGCATTTTCATGCATTTTCGTGAAATTTTTCTAATTTATGAGAAAAAAGCAGTGTACATGGATATAGTGAAGGGTGTGCACAATGCCATTTTTGTGCAATTCTGGGATGTTTTTTTAAGTAAAAATAAGTCGACGTGTACGTGGTTTAGTGATATTTTAATTAAATGATAGTTATTTTGTGAATTTTATGTTTGTAGGAATTTGATATACGTTTCAGTTGAAGTAAATGTGCATGGAAGTAATTTAAATATTTGACACTAAGTATTTGTAACCATTTGTAATGTTTGCGGTATGAATTCGTTGGTGATGTTTATAATATAATAGATAATTTAGAGGTAAAAGTTTTTGGATATTTTATTTATTTTATACGTGGAAATGTTCATCTTTGGAAAGGGTATATGCAAGCTGAAGGTATAAAAGCTTGCATAGTATACATACTTTTTTGCGATCAGGTAATTTCATATATGTTCCTTTTTACCGGATTTCAAAGATTCACAAAATTTTCATGCATTTTCGTGAAATTTTTCTAATTTATGAGAAAAAAGCAGTGTACATGGATATAGTGAAGAGTGTGCGCAATGCCATTTTTGTGCAATTCTGGGATTTTTTTTAAGTAAAAATAAGTTGACGTGTACATGGTTTAGTGATATTTTAATTAAATGATAGTTATTTTGTGAATGTTATGTTTGTAGGAATTTGGTATACGTTTCAGTTGAAGTAAACGTGTATGGAAATAATTTAAATATTTGACACTAAGTATTTGTAACCATTTGTAATGTTTGCGGTATGAATTCGTTGGTGACGTTTATAATATAATAGATAATTTAGAAGTAAAAGTGTTTGGATATTTTATTTATTTTATACGTGGAAATGTTCATCCTTGGAAAGGGTATATACTTTTTCGCGATCAGGTAATTTCATATATGTGCTTTTTACCAAGTTTAAAGATTCACAGAATTTTTTTGCATTTTCGTGCAAATTTTTGTAATTTATGAGAAAATAGCAGTGTAGATGGATAAAGTTAAGAGTGCATGCAATGCCATTTTTGTGCAATTCTGGGATGTTTTTTTTAAGTAAAAATAAGTTGACGTGTAAATGGTTTATGTGTATGTGCTATTCTGAAAAACGCGCAAGGAGTTTGCGATTGTACACTTTTTCCCAATTTTGCAGTTAATATTTTCCCAATTTTGCACTCATGATTAAGCAGTTTTGTTACATAAAATTTCTAGCATAAGTGTAATTCGGCTAGTAGATTGTTGGAAAAAGTGTTCAGTAAATAAAAAGAAAAGAAAAATGTCTTTACTTCGTGAAGACAAAATGGCGGAAAAAAAAAATAGAGTGTTGCTGTAGCAGAGTTGGTCACCAAAAAATCACCAAGTTACCATAATCCAAAGATCAACCAAAATATCATTAGTACATTTTATAAAAATTTAATATTAATAAATCTATAGTAAAAATATCATTGATGACTGTAAAAAGTATCTCTAACTTTATATTTCAGATTGCAGAAACTTGTATAATGCATTTCAAATGCATTAGGTACAGCAAATCAAAAAAAGGGAGGACAATTCTGTATCTCCCATTTTAGTCAGCCCATCAACAAAATTCAACTTCCATTCTTCATGTGTCAAAACCATGATGTAAAATATATATTAGGTCTATATAGACCACTGTCTTATTATGGAGTTTAACAGAAAATTGGATTTTTCTGAATGACATGTCTTTTTTTTTTATCATATTTTGATTCCATGCCTCAAATTAGGCCCAAGTACTAAGTTTCGTCAAAATTACACAAGCAGTTTTTTTTTTAATCAGCATTCAAAATTTTAACCTCAGTGATGTTAATTAAAACTGGAATGCATCTGAAAGTAAATATTAAAATTAGAATTTTGTACTAAAAAATTTCAGGGGTATATGTAAATATTTGGAGATTATTTCAAAATTGGTACAGTATTAAAAGGGAGAATGCTGCAAAATCATTCCGTTTTGCTGAGTTTAGGCTCTTTTGGCTTGGATTTACAATTTTGTTCCACTTTGCTTTCAATGAAATTTAACAAACCATTGTAAAGGGTGTCCAGCAAAGGAAGTCCCTGATTTCAAAATTAAAAATCTCAAAAACAAAGAATGATAGAGGAATACAACAAATGGTATATTTATTACAAAAACTGTAACACTGTTATACAGAAGCTTCCAAATAATAGTTACAAAAGCTGCAGCTGCAAACAGATGGCACTGTAATCACAACATGCAGTAGTATAAATAGTGCTCCAAAGGACTTACTGCATTCAGAGTTCCTTCTTAACTTTAGAGTATGAAGGTGTCGTTTGTGTTGTGTTGAAAACATGTGACTATGAACAGGGATATATCGCCCTGCTTTGCGGCTAATAATTTTCCTCCCCTCAGAGAACGCAACCACGAGGAAAGCGTGTTCCAATAGCCTCGTGATTCTTCGGTATCAGCTAATAATTCTTTGGACTTGGCTCTTGATAACTAATGCGCTCAGAACTTGAATATGTTAAGCCCAAATATGTGAATTATTGTGATTTATGTATATCTTTTAGTTTTAAATTAAGAATCTTTTAGTATTAAAATGGATACTGTTCACTCGGTGCAATTCCTTAGTGTGCTTCAGCAGGATTTCACTGACTTTAAGAATGTGAATCTGCGCATGCAACAGTCTTTAGTGGAAATAATATGGGATATGAAATAGAACTTCAAGTCAAGACAAGGATACTGGATTTAGTTAAAGGTAAGTGCTTATCAGTCAGTGCCAATGGTAATGTTTGTGGAATTTAAAAAAAAAAAAAAAAAACTCTTGTCTGTTGGTAACTTAAGTGGTAATGCTGTATTTTTTTATTTGATAGTATGAATATTAACACAATGCCTCAGTAAGTAGCCTCAATGAGGCTAAAAAATATAAAAAGAGGTTAACTGATGGTGAGCGGACTGAAGATGGGTCTGTTTTGCCTCGACCCACAATAATGGTTAAAAGTACCATGGAAATTCCACTGAATTTTTAAAAAAAAAATTTTTTTCCAATGGCTACCAAAAAAAATATATATATATATATTACAAAGAACTAAAATCTTATAAACAGAGGTTACAAACAATAGAACTAAGAACAAAAAGTCATTGCCTAAGGAGCATTCTTGCCTCTCAGTATCTTGACTCTTCTGCAAGACCACAAAGAGCCTCACATCAGAGCAGGTAGTCCCTGTTCATTTCTTCTCCAGAATGACAAAGTAAGCAGATAGGATCATTTGAAATGCCTATGCGGTGCATGGCAAGGCAATCATGTCCTGAAAGCCGCAACTGCATTGCATCTTGGACTATCAGGATATAAGAGGACTTATCATTCTCCAACATTTTACGGCTGTACGAGTCTGAAGATCTCATAAGATATTAGACGTAAATAAATTTTTCAAAAACAGTTTAACCCTCCAATAAGAAATGGCTGTATTAGGATGCTGTAGTAAGCTGGCACCTTTTTCTGCAAGGAATTCCGCTTGTTCATTGCTCCAAAGGCCACAATATCTAGGCACTCGCTGGAGAACAATTTGTTTCCCATTTAAAGAGAGTTTTCAGAAATTCTTGACATTGCAAAATTTCCGGAATTAATGGGTGTTTGGGTGTTCAAGACAGCTAATTGATTGTATGGTTGCATGAGAATCAGAAAAAATGACTGCATTTGCAAACTTGTAATAGATAGCTAATAATTGTTTTAGGGCTATGCAAATGGCTACTACTTCATCATCAAAGGAGGTACCAATGTATCCTGCAGGGGTATAAAAAGAAAAAAGATTCCAAAAAATATCAGCCCAACTTTAAAATTACAGTCAAACGAAGAACCATCAGTAAATATGTGCAGCCAATGAGTAGGTGGATATCTAGCCACAATGGTCTTCAAAGCGAGGCATTTCAAAACATTTGGTGCAACATCTCTCTTTCTATGGATGGTTTTCACTAGGTTTAGCCTTACTTTGACATTAATCACTTCCAAAGGGCTTCTGGTTTTCAAGAGTGGTTGTATGGAATCTCAGGAATTTTCTCAAAGGACCAGGAGACATTTTGAATAAATCTATAATGAATTTTTAATTTCCTAGGCTTGACTATGTAGTCCCTCCAGTTGGGATCTTGCATCCACAGTAGCTTTTCATAGAGAACCAAAGCCCTCATTTTCATAATATCCAGAAGGGTTATTTCCTATCAACAATAACATCACATTAATAAGTGTAGACTTCACAGCTCCTGTAATCAAGCGAAGAGCTTGGTTTTGTACCATTTCAAGTCTACTAACAATCGATTGTGGGACAACGATGAGAACTTCACAACAATATGCCATTAAAGGCAAGATATAAATATTAAATGTAATGCTAA